GTGGCCTTTGAACTACCCTTCCAACTGGTCCGAGAGAAAAGGGGAAGCCTATCCTGGAACGTTTCAGCCGAAGAAGAGGCAGCGGCAGATCGTCGCGGCAGCACATATCGTTCGGCGCATCCGGTCTCGAGATTCGATTCACGTGAGCCGAGAATGTGCTCTCGTAGCCTCGAATGCGAATTTAATAAAGAGAATAAATCATTTTAATGTAACGCGGCGGCACGTCGCTGCGGAACGAAGGGGTGACGAGGCCAAGGGGGTAGAGAAATTCAACGTTAAGGGGGGGAAAATGTGTGTGTGTGAGAGAGAGAGAGAGAGAGAGAGAGTGAACGGGAGAGAAAAAAAACCGGTATTTTTGCGTCGAGCACGGAGGGGTGCATTTCGTTGCGATTATAAAAGCTGGGCAACCCCCGGTGTGTCTAGACGACGTGGCCTCCTATCAAAAACAGACCACCGAACTGAAAAGGCTGAAAGGGCAAGGAACTCCTCACAATGCCAAGAAATTAAAGTTTCTCTGTATATCCACCTATACTTGTCCTATGCCTCTTCCTCCTCCTCTTTTTCTTTTTTCCATCCGTCTCCTCTATCCTACTCTCCTCGTTCGATGTCTACGTCGTACCGGTACAGGGAGGGAAAAGAAAAGAAAAGAAAAAAAAAAAGAAAGAGAGAGAGAGAGATCACTCTGCCGATAAACGCAAACACAGAATGGGGAGCAACGTACGCGCCAGTTAAAGAGACTGCTCTCTTTCTTCGCGGCAAATGTTTCGCAAGGACTCGCTCGACCCCCCGTACCTGTTGGAGTTCGATCGATCGTGTCTACGATGATAATCGGTCGGTCATCTCTTACCGTGTCCTGCGCTAAACGTACTGTCTGCCAATTTATAAATCGTTCCTTGGAATTACTTTTCAGTGCTTTTTTTGGGACTGCTATTGAACCACGTGGGCTTTTCATGTGAACTGTTTTGTTTGAGTTTGTGCGATGAAAATTCGGAAGATTTGAGGAAAATCAGGGCAGGTCAGAGGAAATTTGAACTACTTTAGTTAAGTTTGTGCGATGAAAATTTGAACTATTTTATTTAAGTTTGTGTGATGAAAATTCGGAAGATTTGAGGAAAATCAGGGCAGGTCAGAGAAAGTTCGAACTATTTTAGTTAAGTTTGTGTGATGGAAATTCGGAAGATTTGAGGAAAATCAGGGCAGGTCAGAGGAAATTTGAACTATTTTAGTTAAGTTTGTGTGATGAAAATTCGGAAGATTTGAGAAAATTCAGGGAAGATCAGAGAAAGTTCGAACTATTTTATTTACGTTTATTTGATAAAAATTTAACGATACTTTACACAGGGTGGGCTAGAACAAATTTCATATGTACAAATAAACCGAAAATACAGGATAAAATTTTTTCATAAGAAACTTAGTTTTTCAAAAATTCAGTTCTTCAAGTTTCTAAGCTTCTCCAGGTTTTTACTTCTAAATTATATTCCACGGATGTAAGTACATTCACGATTGCACAAAGCAAGCAGAAATTCGACAAATTCGATCTTCAATTACAAAAGAACGAAGGTGTTTCACGATTGGACGAAAATAACCGTGGCGACTCATAAACGCAACCGTATTGTCGCGCGAATGAAAAGGATTCATTGATACTCGAGGAACGTCCGATCCTCCTAGCTGTCACAGCCAGTCACCGAATCATTTGCATAATCGCGACTGATTACTATCGCCTCGTCGTGGCTCCCGTGTAGTCATCGCCATATGTCACACTTCGAAAAAATTCATCGAACGTTCCCACGTCGCAATGACGGAAACACACAGCAGAGACCATTGTTACCGTCTCCTCGAAACACTATAACTCAACCTTAATCCGTCCGCGCGTTTCATCGTTCTTCGTGGAAAACTGTTTTCGAGGAAACGTGACTAGGACGAGATTGGCCGAAACTCAAGGTGCGCACGAAAGTCGTAAAAAAAAAAAAAAACGAGGAAAAAAATTGTACGTGCTGGTATAAGCCCTGATGATCGAGCTCTGAACGCCTCCAAGTCGGAAGTATGAATCAGGAAGCGATGTGTCACGTGCTGCTGTTGCACGTCATCAAGTAGGATACACGAGCCGTGAATCGTAAAGGATTACTCACGTAAAAAGAACCCGCGACACAGGTTAATACGATAAACGTCCGCTTTTCAACGATTATTTTCCAACGATTCGAACGAATATCGTTTTGTTCGAGTCTATTGAAATTATGAATCACCGTGTATATGAGAAAAGAAGCGGATGTCGGTTGAATTGGTATTGAGGTTAGGATCGATAAGAAGAATCGAAGGAATTCTACGAATCGTTTGAATGCCCTGTAGAGATAGGAATTCGTGTGACAGCTTCGAAGATCGATTTGATCTAGATCGGATCGTTGGATCGAGGGAACGAAGGGCACACACAAGACTATTCGAATATTTTTTCTATCTGCTCGAGGTTGGAAATAGTAAGCAAGCCAAGCTGATAAACGACCTCTGGAATGTTTGATAAAGTCGATTAGAGCCAAGTACGAGTTAGTTAGCGGCGACGATTATAGAGAGCGTTTCTGTGTACACCGAAATGAGAAGGGAAGAAAGAAAGAAAGGTAGATGTTCTATGTAGGAATAGCTACATTATCGGCCCACCAGGGTTCAGAGCACGCTTTGATAAGGGTTCACGCGTCGTACGCTTCGCGAACCATCCGAAAATTCACGTACGACGTGTGTATACGTCGATAAATATACCTATCGATCGAGTGTATACGAAACGTTGTAGATTTTCAGATAACCCACCGTTACGTGTTTCGACCGAGTTAGCTTCGCAGCTTTAGAATCTTACGCGAAAAGCTCTATCGAGAGTTAATAATCTAGTTCGGCTTTGTACACGACAGATGGCACTAGTAAAAACATGGAAGTCGAAAGATCAGTAACCCCGATAGGCGAATAACCGCGCATTAACTCTTTGTTTACCTCAACCCTCTGGAATACGTTTCATTCGGACTGATTTAATCGGTTTTCAAACCGTCTGAGCTTGATAAATATAAAAAGAGTTACGTGTATCGATGTCACGAGCATGAGATCGGTGCAAGATGAATACATCGAAACTGGTTTTACGAAACATTACGCTTTATTTTTTTGTCGAGAGTATTTGTACGCATAAATAAATATTATTTCCTTATGTATGCGAGTTAGCGGTAGGAAAAATGAAATTATCTCGTGTATTTTCATATTTATAAACTAAGCAGGATCGAAATAAACCCTACTGCGCGATGGTGAGACAATGTACGTACTCGTTTACCATCGTAACATGTCGTCAGTCGTAAATTGTAAGGAAACGTGGTCGGAATACGAGGATTGACGAAATATCGGAAAAATATACGGTATTTTGATTTGTTAGCGAAAACAGTGAGAAAAAAAGATAGGAACGATACATGAGGACGCAATGCGACCGCGTGCCCTTTTTCTGTTTTCTTCTTTTTTTCAGCCTGCGGTCGAGGTAAACACAGCGCGGCACGTTTTGTGGCGCCCCCTAACCGATAAAACGCCATCGAGGCACTCTCATGATTTGGTCGCGCATGTGAGAATCACGGCGTGACATACGGCTTACAGTCGAACTGCAACGTGACACTCGTCCAAAGGTGTCGGAACTACGCTGTCATAGAAGGCAATAAAGTTGCTAAGCGGACCCAGCCCGAAAATTATGCAAGATAGAACGTATTTGAACGAGCATGGATTTGCGACCACGCCACCGCCACGCACGCCAGACAGTGGCATGCTTCGATGGTGGGGCCACCGTGCCGAACGGTCGACCCCTTCCGCGCACATTTACAACCATCAAAAATGTATTTCTGTGTCAGTACTCACCCTCGTCAGAGTCGTCCAGTCCTTCTTTCTGGATATAGGATATATCTGAAACCCACAAACACCACGGGTTAGCTGAAAGTCCCTCGTGTTTTCGGGCAGCTTCGTTCGATCCACAGGCACTTACTCACCCGCCATGTTGTAACAAACTGCAACGCGCCCTCGTGGCCATGCGTTTAACTTACCAAATCGAGAGATCGTTTCACGTTATTCGCGTATATATCGATATTGCCAATTTTAATTCTCGTTTCAACGGTTCTTTCAATTCAAAAATTTCCTCGTTAACGAGACAATCGGTTTATTGCTTGTGCTGAAAAACAAATATTTCGTTGAATTAATCGGAAAGGTTGCGTCAAGAATTAAGTGTTTCTAACACCAAAATATATTTAACGTCCAGCAAAATTAATAAGTGAGTCCATTTCATACGTATTATAAGAATGTTAAATAAAACTAACGTATATTCGAAATTATACGTAAGATGTGAGAAATTTAGTTTTATTTTTCTAAATTTTAAACTGCTTTTAAATAATTGTAACATTATATCTATTGAAAACAATGAAACGACCACACGTG